CTCTCTCATCTCTCTCCCATCTCCCTCATCTCTTTCTTCCTCTGTCTTTTTCTATCTCATTCCCTCTCTCATCTCTCTCCCTCATCTCTCTTTTTCTCCCTCTCCTTCTCCCTCTCTCTCTCTCTCTCATGTGTGTGTGTGTGTGTGTTCCCTTTTGAATCATTTCCAAAATCAGGCAAGAGTTGGGTTTTTGCTGATGTTGTTCTTTCTTCTTCTTTGGGTGCTTTTCACCATGTTTTAAATCAAGAGTCATTTCAGATTCCCAGGTAAATGAAGCTCTTTCATTCCCCCTGCTGTGGGCTTTCTGCCAGCTGAACCCACCACTGGCTGGCTCTGCCCCTTGCCCTCCCCCTCCCAGTCACTCCTCGCCTGAGAAGGTAAAGGCGACGGTGGCAGATGGAGACTCGCTCCATATTACAGAGCGGGATAAAAGCAGTTCTGTACTTGCCTCTCCTTCCAGCCCTTGTTGGAGTTGTGCGCACCTCGGTCGCTTGGAGAGACGCGTGACTTTCTCTCCGCCCCGAGACACTTGCCTGGCCCAGGTGTGGCTGACTCCAGTGCTCTCACCACCTCCATGGCCTGCTCCCTGCTCTTGCAGCGCCTTGTGCAGCACACTTAAATTTAGCGCCCTTCACAATGGGGGAGACGGCATCTCTTGTTCCTCCTGGAGCCCATTACAACGTGGAACATTTGTCGTTGGGAGAGATGTGCAACTTTCTCTCCACCCCGAGACACTGGTTCGGCCCGGCTGCAGCCGATGCTCTGCGTTGTAATGGGATCCAGGAGGAGGAGGGGACACTGTCTCCCCCATTGTGAAGCACGCTAAATTTAAGTGTGCTGCACAAGGCGTTGCAAGAGCACAAGCAGGCCATAGAGGCAGCAAGGGCATTGGCGTCAGCTGCAGCGACCCGGGCCAGAGTCTCAGGGCGGAGAGAAAGTTGTGCGTCGCCCTGAGCAACCGAGGTACAGGCAGCAGAAAGAAAGGCTGGAAGAAGAGGCAGGCACAGGACCGCTTCGCTCCTGCTCTGGAATACGGAGCAAGCCTCCATCCGCCACTGTCGCACCTTTCCTTCTCAGGCGAAGAGTGACTGGGAGGGGAGGGCAAGGGGCGGAGCCAATCAGTGGTACAATCTGGTTTGGCAGGGAGCCACAGCAAGGGGCCCAAAGAACCGCCTGTGGCTCCAGAGCCGCCTGTGGTTGCCAACCCCCATTCTAAAGACAAGGCAGGATTTAATAATATCTCATTCTTCAACAACAGCACAAACGTTCGCCAGTATCAAGTTTGCTTTGTAAAAGCCATCAATAATCTATGATAGTTGATTTCTTCTTCATACAAAAAAGAGAACCCAACTACCAGATGCAATGAAGGCTGAAAGATATTTTACCAGAATTTAAAATATTTTCCTCTAAGCTGTGATTATTTTCTCTGATGGTCTGTAGGATTGTTTCTTCATCTGGCTCTTTGTCTTACAATTCTTGTCTTAAATATGACTGGAGACTCTTTACTGTTTGATTCCTTATCTTGTCTCCCTGGATTTTTCTAAATCCAACTTTTTCCAAATTTGGAGAAGAACCTGGCAGGAATGAGCAGGTCTGGGACAAACAGCTGCCTTGAAACAGGAGGCAAAATTTCTTTCATATATATATAAAACAGATGAACCTCTTGAGCCCACTTGTTCTGTAGAGGAGTAATATACAATTGTATTCCATCATCTACAGTTAAATTTTGGCACCACTCTTGGAGAGCAGGGGCTAAAAGGGGCTGAGAAGAGGTTTTGTGCCTAAATTCAGTGATCAAATTTTATCACCTTTACCTCCTTTGAGCACAAACATCTCCTTCTGTCCCGTCAATACCACCGGAGGGTATTTTATAGGCTCTATTCTTATGATCAGTAGCATCACAGTGAATTAAGAACGGTCTAACAGAGCTGCTCTGGAAACTCTGAAAGCCTAACTCTTGTTTCTTAACCAACTGTATTTGAAAACCTTTCACGACCTGACAATGGAAGGATGGGAAGCATAAAGGAGACAGGATATTTGGTGGCTGCAGAAAAACCAAATTGTTTTATTTGGCACTTATGAAAGTATTAAGAAATGGAATCTGGATACTTATTAATCACTAAAGCAAAATTTGGAAAGGATGTAATATATCAATGGTGATCTGTAAGTGCTGTGTCTACATATACCAAACACTTCTTATTTTGTAATCAAAACCTACTAATTATATTGTAAAGAACTGGCTAAATTAAAACTTTTCTCTAAGAGATGGGTTTACTGTATCATCTAAAAAAAGGACCAAAAGAAACATTATTTTTCTAAAAGTTATTTGTTTAAAAGAGTGGTTTTGATTTAAGCCCTTTGAATAACCGGGATATTACAAGATTCAAATAAATTCAATGCACATAGAAATGTCAAGCAGTGTTAAACAGCAAGCACCTGTGAAGTCTAGCACCTGGAGCCATTTGGAGATTAAAAATAAAACAAAACAAAATCACTTCATAATATTGATTACCCCATAATTTTACAGCCCCCACATTCAAGCAATATAGATTACATTTTCAACTCTAAAATAGTTCTGTGGTCACAGCAAGGTAACAGAGAAAAAATCACTGCAACTACAAGCAAATTTCTCAAGAGTAAGAAATTTCTCAAGAAGGCAGATTGTCAGCACAATAAGATGCATTTTAAAAAAAAATAAAGAACAGTTTTTAAATGGGTCAGTTAGATCATCTTTTGTGTTTTATGGTCTTTTGACTGAATTTAGAGAAGAGGCAATATTTTGATCTAAGACAGTAATCTGACAGCAGGAAAGATTTTCTTCAGCAGAAGTCTTTTTTATATAATAGCTAAATACATGTTCCCGTGCTACCCTTTGCAAATTTCAATCTTCCAATTTGCAATATTTATCAAGAATGGCTAAATATATATTTCAAATATTAAGACACTCATCAAATAGCAATGTCTCTAGCTAAATCTAGAATGAATTGACTCTGGGAGTCTTCAGCAAGAATGATACCAGCTTTCATTCTCCTGTATAACATCAAAGATCAGGAGAGCTAAGCTTACTGGTGCTAACAGTTAACAGTAATAGAGTTGGAAGTGTCCTTCGAGATCATCTAGTCCAATCCCCTGCGCTCTCTCCCTCATTGGCAAACAAGGGTTAAACCTTGGTTGAACTCCAAGGTTTCACTGCACCTCATCTTCTTCCCATCTGCCACTGAAAATCAGGGGCAAAATCTTTTTCCATCTAATTTCTATGGTAATCAATCTAGAAACAATGTAAAGCTTTTTCAAAACAAAAGAGTAAAAATGTATTTAAAGAAAAGGATATATTTCAGTAAAGTACAAATTTTAGACATACAGTACTTTGATTTTTTTTCTTTTACATTGCATCTTTTCAAATGCTCCACCTGATTATAAAATAGGTTAGGACTGTAGCTGATTCTGTAATATTAAACAACAGTAATAAAAGTATATAAGACTTGTGTTTTTTAAAATATTCAGCTCCATCTTTCGGCTTCTTTTAAGAGGACAAAGGCTAAATATTTTATTCATTTATGTAATGTACTGATTACTATTTTATACCTGATATTTTTACTCTGTCTTCATACTTACTTATGAAATGCAGACCCCTTTCCCTCATCCAAAACTGAATGTAGCCCTCAGTTCAAAACTGGTTGCCCATTCAGGAACAAAACAGGCAAAACCTTTGTTTTATAATACTCTTCTGCCTTGTTTCTTAATTAAGTGTTTAATATGACTTCTCTAGATATATCAGACCCAGTCACTGGACTACAACAATTTCTTCTGACTGAATCACACTGTCAAGATACTCTGAACTGAGGAATGATATGCTTCCTATTGGTTTTGGGATGGGTCCCCCCCCCCATCTATGCAAAGAAAATAAAAAATATGTAACTTACAGAAAACATGTGTCTGGATTTATCTGATTAGTTTAATTAATTTAATGAGGTTTACAGTATGAAAATAGTTCAAAGAAGCTAAATCTTTTCAAAGTACTGAGTTTTCTACATTTATGCATATTTATTTTGATGTTAATTTTAGTGAAGTTTATTTATGAACATACCATACACACACATATACATACATACATAAATACATGCATGCATATATACATACACAAACGCACACATGCAAATCAGAAGAAAATTGTAGAAATACAGCTTTCATATAGAAAACTAATAGGACTAATTTACCAGTTCTATTGCTCATTTTTTAATTTACCTTGTGTGATGGTTTCGGAGATGGGCAAACTCTCTTGATTATCTTTGAGGGTGTAAACACTGACATTGTATTGCACACCAGGACTCAAATTTTCAAAAACGCAGGATGTATCTTCTGCTTTCACTTGCTCCTCCAGAGTGTAGCCTTCTTGCCCATTTGTAGGAACTGTTGTAATTCTGTATCCAGTGATATCTAATACAAAATGACAAATAGTCGCACATAATGTAAAAATATAGGAATCAGTGTAGCTATTTTAAGATATTCAATTATTTTACTACTCCAAATCAAGTAAGTGTAATTTTCTATATACCTTTCAAATATTGATTTAGGACCATTCGATATTTACTATTCTTATTCTAGTCACTGTTGAAGTAATATTAAATTATTAGACCATAGATAAAGAGAACTGTTTCTATATCAGAGTATGTGTTTTATGGCTATCAAACAACAATTTTTTATTCTATCACATAATATGTTACATTTCACTAATTTTAAATGCCTGAAGCGCAAAACCCAGCTGAGTATTTCAAAATGTGCAAAATGCTGTAGAAAACGGAGCCACTTTCTGTGAGGAAAACTACCTGCTAGAGGTTATCCCGTGCCAATAACCTGATCCACCTGAGCGTTAGAAACATCAGTTGACGTAAGCCTCAGGTGAGCTACTCCAGAGAGCTGTAGTGCTCTCGTCAAAAGGAGATTTGTGGGCAAGGATAAGGTACCTGGAGTGGTGCTTTTTTCCCAAGAAACAGTAAGGAATCCAGTGTCAGAGTTAGAATCAAGATGCAAGTTTGTGGGAGGAGATGGTGCTGAGAAATAAAAGCAAAATATTAGATTTGTCAAAAAATGCAACTCTCATTTCTTATGCTTTAAAGACACAAAATTGAATCTCATGAGAAGTTTTCAACAATTGCTCTTTCCATTTGCAATGTTTTTTTAATGTCACCGATACGGTAAAATGACTGTGTAAACTCAATTCTAGAAACTTATTGATAGCTTAGTAGTACTTTTTTCAACAGCAGCCGAGCTCTATGAGTTGATCTATAGGACAGAGTAGGCAACTTACAGCCCCAGTGTCCCTTCTAAATTGGTAAGACCAATCTTCATTTAGATAATGCAAATCTGGTGGAATTGTGGCATAATTTTAAACACTGACTATTTTCAAATATGATACAAAAATATAGTTATGAAATCACATCAAATTATATCAGATATTTTCTTAAAATGTTTATTAAGTAGCTTTGGTGTCTTTGCTTCAGCATATAATGAAATATTTAAATGACCCATACGTGTGATTACTGTCTTGACGATAGGCGTTGTTCTTTCTTGACCATCCTTAATAACATTAATGCTGTAGATATATTCTACCCCAGGAGTTAGGCCAGATATAACAATGCTTCCAGATTCTGAGATGACCTCCCTTGGAGCTTCTCCACCTTGGCTGGGTCTCACTCCTAGCTGTAATAGGAAAAGAATAAACAATCTTTTGCTGATAATTATTATATTGGTTTCTGTCCATTGCTAGGAGAAGAATGATGAACCTCAACTTTTGGGGAATCTGGTCAACTTTCAGGAAATATACATCAGAAATGCATGTGGAATTAAAGCTGCCAATGTAAGAGTTAAGAGAGATATGGATAGGAGAAAGGATAAGATGTTTTATGGTTTTAATAATATCTTTAAAAATAAATAATTTTAGACAGCAGGAATCTAGTAGTTTTCAACCTTACCAATTTTAAGGTGTGTGGACTTCAACTCCCAGAATTTCCCCAGTCCATTCCCTCTTCTCCTTATACTCAACTTTAACAGAGAAAATCTCAGAATTTGCAAAATTTTGCTGTGCAGCTAGGTATGTTACTAACATTCCTTTTCATCAAACTGAAAATTGTTCCATAGTTTATGTGTTAAAGCTTAGGACAAGTTTCTGTACTCTTCTATATTTTCGGGGAGGGGCTGTTCTTTATCTTATTTCTTACTTCCTCTCATGTCTTGGGAACTCCAAAAGACTATTACAAAACTTTGAAGTATCAACAATTACAGTTTTTGAGAGAACAAGTTGGCATCACAGCAGGAACGATTGGAAATAGTGGAGCTACACAGAGATCCTTGAAAACCAGCTGGTATATGTTTGCTGGGAGACCCTAGGGTGTCAAAGCTGCCTTGGAGGGGTGGTGAAGGAAGGAGAGGTGCTTCATCGACCACGAGAAAAAAGCAATTTCCTTGTTAGGTCCGAAGAAAGCTCTCCCGAACTGCAGCAGGGATGACAACCATTTTTGGCAAGCCACAAGCTGTGACAACCAGGACAATAAGATTTGTGCTTGGAGCGATTCATCGACAAAGCAATAAAACTGGGTGAGACAACTTTCAACTTTTATTCTAGAGACCTAACCCAAGTAAAAGAATTTTTTAAATAATCTCCAAACATTAAGGAAGTGGTGATTGGATACAAGGAGAAAGAGAAAGAGTAAAGACCCAGGTGTGAAAGAAACATCTAATACAAACTTTAAAATATAGAAAGCCTGGAAAAGATTTAATAATACTTAAAAGTGATAACTATACTTTGAGAAAGCACATCAATTTTAACAGCAGCTGTACAAGTGTAGTCAGAAATATAACACTACAAACAGTATATATTGTCTATACCAGTGATGGCGAACCTGTGGCACGCGTGCCACAGGTGGCACGCGGAGCCATTTGTCAGGGCATGTGAGGTGCTGCCCTGTCAGCTGGCCAGCGCGCATAACCTCCCCCCAAGGCCCTCCGGAGGCTTAATGAGCTTCCCTGAAGCCTCCAGAGCGCAAAATACCGGCCCTATGGGCAAGCTGGAAGTTCGGGAGGGTCATTCTGACTCCTCTGGGGGCTTCAGGGAAGCCTCCTGAAGCCTCCGGAGGGCCTTGGGGGGAGGTTATGCGCGCTGGCCAGCTGACAGGGCAGCACCTCACATGCCCTGACAAATGGCTCCGCATGCCACCTGTGGCACGCGTGCCA